AAGTGTAGCCTCTGTGTACATATATAATTCAACAACTCATGAATATGTGAAGAATTTAGATGTTTCTCAATGATTTGATATTGATGGTACAAGGAGCTGCTGCCACACACATGCTCTAGATTTTCTTGTTAGCTAACGACATTTTTTGCGGGGTCCATCTCTTGCAATTGTTTTCAGATTCACACCTATTTATACAGTAAGGACACTCTACACACTCATTTATAGGTTTAAAACTTTTGGAATAGGGAAATACATAAAATATATGCCTATAGTTTTACCCTCACTTGTAGAATAGATAAAAGAATCATGTGCTCAGAAGAAAGTGAGTTTTTTCTCTATATATGTCATTTTCCTGCTTTTGAGTACATGCATCTAAGTGCAAGATAAGATGGACTGACAAATAATCTCTCCCAATACATATACTATTCAAAACTATGATAACAGGGAATTTGGAAAAGCCCATCCTAACTCCTGCTACCTGAATTAAGTAATGGTCACCCTACAGGTGAGCATCACGAGTCCCAGTATTAGCTTTAGCAGGACTAAAGCAGCCATTGGTGTAAGCAGCACTGCAGCGTTGCCTTGAGATCCAGCAGCAAGGATAGCAAAGTGTGATATGATGTGGGTAGCGGGTCACTTCTTCGAACTTGTGCTTTTAACACAACCATTTAAAAATCAACAAATTCAGGAGACATATAATGGAAAAGAATATAATGCATGAAACCAGGTTCATTAAACTAATGCATTTTTTGAAAAACAAAATATGACAGAACATTTCATTATTGACGCAGATATGAGAAAAAGTGTTATGCTGCTATTTAGAATGTGTCTTGTGTGTCATGGAATTGAAATATTTCCAAATCATCAATAATTAAAATGATGAGAATCCACCATTTCACTGACATTTACTTCTACATGAAAAGATGGCCTATTTTAAATGTGCTCACACATATTCTTGTCAATCACAAGCTGTCACAGCAAATTACTTCATTTTGTGGATCACGTGGCAGTTAGCAGAAAATCTCTAGGTTTAAATTTAGATCTTAGGTGTAGTATCAAGAACTCTTCATGAATTTTTTCTGTGACTACATCTTCACAATACAGTATATGAAAGATGTAAAATCTTATTCATAGTACTTGGATTTCACTTCTGGTTAACAAAACTATGGACTGAAATGAATCACTGTAAATGATAACTCCGAAAGCCAAATAACAGAATATGATATATAGGAAAGAAAGGAAATATAAAACTAAAACAATTTTAGGACAATCAGAACTCCATACAATGGAACTTGAACCTAATGAATTAGGTCCAAACAGCTTTTTTTCCTCATCTTCTTTAAGACATTTAAGCAACTGCAGGGCACGAGCCAGTTCTTACGCCAGGTTTGCATTGCCTACAGCTCCTAGCAGTTACAAAGGAGCCGAACTCTTACAAACCTCAGGAATGTAATATAAGAATTTTTACTCTGCCACCATTAAGCAGAAGATTCAGGAAATTGTGAATAAAACCTAAACTGCATGCCCATGAATCTGAAAACTTTTCAAAAATGCCTTTTCAAACAATTCATTAATTACATCTTCACAATTCTAGCAGAATCATTAATAAATTTCAGAATCTTCAAATGCCAGAATTAAAAGACCTAGTAAGACAGTTGATCTTCATCAACAGTCTTTATAAAAAATATTTCTATTTTTCCCATACACAATTAATCTTTCTGCTTAGGCATTCAACTTCAAAATGTATGAATTATTCTAACATTGCATTTCAACAGGGAATGCTTCATGTCAGTCTTGACCTTGGCCTGACCTCTATATGAAAGCTTTGTGTTTTGAGGTATGTGATGAATAGCTCTCTGGCTTTCTATTAAATCCACTGCCACTGGTTGTCAACAGTGACTCTCCAAAGGGGTAGTAAAGTAGTTAAAAAATCAGAGATGTTCTGTGGGTCTTTTTCTATCTTAGTAAATCTGGAAATACTTCTAAGGCAATTTTCACTATGTATACTGCTTTTCCAAAGAATAAGAAAAGAGTGAAGTATGGAAATATAATTGCCAAAATATACATAGACTTATTTGGCCTTCCTGTGCCAAAAATAAAGTAAACTTTCCTTTGGAGGACCCATTGGATTTACATTGTTGAACAGTGTTCTCAGTTTGAAGGATTTACATATAATTTATTGACCCAATTTAAGCTCCTTAAAGACCAGGACTTCTATCCCTATGTCAAGACTACACACATAGTAGATACTTAATAAATATTTATTGGTTTAAATTTGGATTGAATTGAATTAAATTGGATTTGAAATCAGAGATGAAAGAATAACGATAAAAAAGAAATCAGACTATGAGCCCCTTTTTTCACCTGTCTCTGATCTGGCCCAGTACCTGGCACATAGTAGGCTCTCAGTGAATGTTCGCTGAATGAATGAAAATCAGTATATGAAAATAATGACCAGTTCCTGACTCTAATGCCTGTTGGTTAGTTGTATATAAAATATTCATGCTCATTTAGAAAGATACAACAGTAAAACCCAATTTACCTTTTTACCTTTAGAATGTTCAATTTTCCACCTTCTGAGAATGCCTCCTTACTCTAAATTTATCTACCATCTGCAGAGCTATTCATACATGTTTGATTTTTATGGTACACTCATGACAACAAGTTGGCAAATTATTGGTTACCAGGTAATTTTAACCTGATTTCAAAAAGTATATGTGAATATGTGGGTGATACATAGATATACATATATATATATATATGAAGTAAATTAATTCACAGGAATTTCAAGTTAATTTTTTAAAGTCTAACAACCTTTTTTCTGTCACACTATT